ATATTGGGAGTTGAGGGCCATGCAACAATGTTGCGTCCGTTTGCCCGGGGCTTTACAAGGACAAGGCAGGCAACCCAGGCGGCACTTTCTTCCAGTAAATCTTTTGGTCAGTTATTTGTTAAGATTAAGACGAAAATACCCCGTTCTGTTGGAGAATTGAGATTTATTAGGGCAGTGTTTATCGTCGGGTCGGATATAAAAAATTCTCGAAGTTTTCTTGGACTGATTTGGTTCGCTTCTCCTTTGATTTGAAAAAAACGGTTCAGTAGTGAAGAGGGCAGCAGGTCGGGAGAAACGCCGACTACACTTTGGAACTGTGTGCGAATTAGCAAAAGCAAAAAAATATATATTTCAAGGGCATATTGCAATCTTGGTTTTCCTCGTTTTCGCGGTGTCCTCAATGACGTCAAATGCCTTTCTGTTTAACATGTAGATTCCATTTTGGTGTGTGTCTGTTAAGTTCTATAGCACTAATGACGTCAATTCGTGGTAAGAACAAATGACCAACGAGCTTCTGTCAAGCCGGTCACTGCTGCTTTTACCACATTTTGAGTACTTTTTTGATAACTGGACAAAAGAAGGGCAGAATGGAATGTATCCGTTTCAGTTGAAAATGAATGCATATTCAGGCTGTTTGGTATTTTTCACGTAAATCAAACTTCTTTTTACTGCTTATCCCTACTTTTGTATTTCCTTACAGCTTCTCCCAAACATTTCAAAATGACTTTACTTTCCAAATCTGGAAAAAAAATTCTTTTTTTTTTTAACTGACACCGGTTTTTGACGAAACAGGGAACAAAGTTCGATGGCTAAGGCTGGGCGTCCGTACTTTAAAAGATATGAAACTAAGATAACTGACCATAATGTGCGTATACGGAGATTTTTTGTTCGAGATTACAATGTTATAAACTCATCACAACTTTACTGACATTATCTCTTGGCTCGTTACACTTGCCCTACCTTTCACTCGAGGTTATAGTCGAGCTGCACGAAAACATTTTTCACGAATTGGCGCTTTTTTATTATTATTATTTTAACCATTGTTGCCCAATAGTGAGTGCCTATTTGACATACTGCTGTTATGGTCGCATTAATGGCAATGTACGTCGCGTGAAGTCGAATATATATTCTGTTTGCCAATCTTCTCGATTATCTGTTGTTATGACTGAAAGAAGTAGCTATCTTTCCCGCCCTTTCTTGATAGAGAAATTTTTCATCTTTCCTATAGTTACTTAATTCATTTTTGAAATTTAGAAGAGGAATTTTTTCCCTTTGTAACCCCTTTTTCGTGGTCTCCCAAGCTTTGTTTTATTCTTTATATACTTAAATGTCTGACCGATTCCTCGCGTACTAATACATTGTCCTTGATTTCGTGAGCTTTACCTACATCATATAGTCACTGAATGCATCACAGTCGCGGAGGGGTAGGGAAGGCACGAATAAATTCCATGTCATTCGCTGATAAGCCTTGGAATTCATAAAGAGCTATAAAGCAACAGAAGCTACATTTATTTTACGTTTCGGATTTTGCTGGTAGTAAGAAAAGGGACGTTTAGGAGAATCATATTGGCGCTAATGATAATCTTGACTATCCGAGATAAACCGTATCGACGCGCCTCATAAAAATTTCGTCAATCTTTGTCTCTCAAAATTAAACCAATCCTCTCTTTTTTATAAAACAGGCCAAACCGTAATAAAGTTACTTTTTGTTATAATTTACTTGAACTTCTCAAGAATAAAAAGAGTATATCTGTGTTTTTGAATTTTCCCCAAATGGGCAAAATTGTTATCAAATTCAAACTACATATTTGCATATTGTAGTTTTTTAAGGGTAAATTTTTACCTCATATTTGAAGTCCAAATAATATTACGAAAAACGTGTAACCTCATTTACATTGTTATACCAATTACACAGGAACAACAACATTTATTATCTTACAAAACAGCGTCTTTAAAGATTAAAAATGAATTTCGTTTGATTGGCTGGATTACATGGAAAAAAATATTTGTTTTATAATAGAAAGACAAAAGAATGCGGACGTTATCTTGGCCAATAAAATCCCCAACCGAACCTTGCGAATAGCGAATACGATAACATCGGCGATACATCTTGTTGTTTAAAGTAACAATTTGGATTCAAAACATATGTAACATAGATTTGGGAGTCGACGTTTTGTCGAGTATTGAGTAAACTTCTTTCACCGGAGAAACAGAGCTTTCTTCCGGTCGATCGACCATGGCGGATGAGGAGCGAATGCATTTGGTGTCTCATGAAAAAACTGAAAGCAATGAATCAGCGAAGCCGACGGCAGGTGCGGAATCTTCAGAGGAAGAAACGGCGTTTGAAGATGTTCCAGTGTATATAACATGCCCGTACTGTAATGAAAAAATTGTTACTCGTACGAGTTTCAAATCCGGAAAGTACACATATTGGACATCAGCTTGTCTTTGCATATTTCAGTAAGTACAACAGTTTTTTTTCTATGTAATTAAATTGCCTTTTTCTAAAGGTAGAAATATTATGTCGTGCTTCCCCTTTTCAGCTCTAACAACGCGAAACCGTCATATTTTTTTATCAGTATGTGAAAAAATTTTAATTAAATAAGAATTTTCATTTATTATAAAAAGAAAACACAAAAACCCAACTTAGAGCAAAAAATTTAGTTCTCAATGAGCGTAAAGAAAGCTTTCATTATTAATACAGTGAATATAAGAGTACCTTGATTACAAAAAAATATCGCAGTGTAACAAATTTTATGCTCCGTAGATATAAACGCGAATGAAAAAGCCTGAAGAACGCCGACGGTGTTTAAAGTAAACACTACTCAGTTTTGATTTTAATCAATGAAGAATTGCGAGCTAAACTGAATAGAATTTTTAAGTTTGAAAGCAACAAGGATCCTTTCCAACGTATTTTTTATTATATTTTTCCTAAGTAGCATGTGACAAAATTTCAAACAAAACCGGTCTTGATATTAATAAAACGCATGGTGGGTCACACTACCCCAAACGAACCCCCTCTGTGGGAAGTTCATTGTCTTTCCACATTTTCTCAGATGAGACTTGTGAATTGTATAAGTAGATTGTTCCAAAACACTCTATTCTAAAAGTAATTGACATATAAAGTTATGTACATCTGAGATTGTTTGTCTCAAAATAAACTTATTTCCTCTTTCATATGCTGCATCTGTTACATGTGTGTTTTTTCAACAACAATCACGTCAAGACATGATTGATTATTCTTGTTTTCGCGTATTATTTTTTTGTATTTTCATTGACACCTAGAAGAGAATACGGCCCAAGTGTCGTTTAACTCCCTCCAAAAAAATGTTTGTCAATAATTAATTGTCAAGAATTGGAGGAGATCTGAAGACTTTTGGCCCTAACAACTCGACAATTGTAGGAAAAATTTCCAAACTACCTTTCTAAACAAGGTGACTGATAAAGACCGGAATTTAAATTCGAAACCACCCGAACTAC